AACAGACAATCTACTAAATGGGAGAAAATAGCTGCAAAGTATGCATATGATAAAGGACTAATATCTAGAATTTACAACGAGCTCCAATAACTCAACAATAATAAAACCAAATAATCCCATTAAAAAGTGGGTGAAGGACATGAGCAGACATTTTGCAAAAGAAGACATACAAATGGCCAACATGCATATGAAAAAATCCTCAACATTAATAATCATCAGAGAAATGCAAATAAAACCCACAATGAGGTAGCATCTTACACCAGTCTGAATGGCAATTATCAAAAAGTAAAAAAGCAACAGATGTCGGTCAAGATGCAGAGAAAAGGGAACACATACACTGTTGGTGGGAATGTAAATTAGTTCAACCTCTATGGAAAACAGTATGGAGATTTCTCAGAAAACTAAAAATGAAACTATCATTTGATCCAGCAATCCCACTACTGGATATATACCCTAAGGAAAGAAAATCATTATAACAAAAAGATACTTTCACTTGTATGTTTCTCACATGATTATTATAATAGCAAAGATATGGAATCAACCTAACTGTCCATCAACAGATGATTGGATAAAGAAAATATAGTATATATACACAATGGAATACTTCCTGTTCAGCCAAATAATAGTAAATATGACATTTCAAAGAATGAAATCGTGTCTTTTGCAGCAACATCAATGGAACTAGAAGTCATTTTTAAGTGAAACAAGGCAGACACAAGAAGACAGATATCACACGTTCTGACTTATAAGTGGGAGCTAAGTAATGTGTACACACAGACATAGAGTATGGAATTATGGACAACAGAAACTCAGAAGGATGAGAGGATGGAAGGGGGTGTATGATGAGAAATTACTTAATAGGTACAATATGTGTTATCTGGATGATGGGTACCCTAAAAGACCTAGCCACTACCACACAATCTATGCATGTAACAAAATTGCACCTGTACTCCATAAATTTATACTAATAATAATAATTTGAAAAACACAGGACCTGTTTCAGGACCTTAAAACTGGGTTGGGTAAAGGAGAAAATGTAATGCATTGTTTCCTGGCTCAGCAATAGCCTGAGCAAAACCTCAGATGACTCATCTCCAGAGGAACAGGACAAAAGCAGGTCTGGACAGAGTGACGATTTGCAATTTGGACTCCTTGCTCCCTGGAGATGGGACAAGGACCAGGTTTCAGTGTGGAGATCCAGAGAAGGCATGCCTGTCTTACTAAAAGGAGGGAGTAGTTTGGAGGAAATGGGCAAGAGTAAGCTGAGAATGAGTTTTCAGAAGTCACAAGCCCTTAGGAAAGGGTGGCAAGAAATTAGCCCACTGATAAGAAAAAGGCTGAAACACCAGTGTGCTGCCCTCTAAGGTGAGAGGAACACTCAGAGCCAGCTACAGGCAGGAGAAGCCCTGAGGAAGAGGTTGGGAATGCCACGAAGACTATGTAGACCATCTCTCCAGTCAAGGGAGAAAAGAAGCCCAAAAGGGGATGCAAGCCAGAAGAGGTATCAGCTCTGCACAACTGTCACCAGAGTAACTTCTAAAATTTAAAATTGGGATTCATTCCCTAGGTGTACAGATGGGCTACAGGTGTCTGAAAATATTTTGCTGTCGAAAGCAAAATTGTTTGTGTCTAGGTATTTTTCTGGGGAGAGTTTCTATAGCTTTCATCAGATTCTCCAAGGGGGGTCTTTGTACCATAAAGAGCTTCACCAAGACTCACCACTGACATACTTGGAGAAAGACAGTATAATTCTAGAGGGTACAACCCATTTACTGAATAACTTCTCAGATAAGTTGATCATCATCTAACAGAGGAGAGCCTACTGAGGGAGCAGAACATAGTGCTGCTATGGGAAAATGACGTCATTCTTTCACCTATTAGATTAATAAATCTCTATTGAGCACTGTTTAGATTCTGGTATACGGTACTGTACAAAAAAAGAGAAAAACAATTCCTGCCAAGTAGATTGAAGCTCTCCTTCCAGTGAGGGGAGTCTAGCTAGGAACAAAACAAACAAGTAAAATATTTAGCACATTAGAAGAGGGTATGTGCCAAGGAGCAAAGCAAGGCAGAACTGAGGGGTAAGGAAGGGATTCAGTGTTAAACAGAATGATAGAGGAAGGCTTACTGAGGTGATGTTTGAGCAAAGACTTGAAGACAGTAAGGGACCAAGCCATGCAGCTGCCTGGGGAAAGAGGATTCCAGGCAAAGGAAACAGCAAGTGCAAGGACCTGAAGGCAGGAACACGGGTAGGATGTTTGAGCGGGCTGGTGAAGCTAGAGTGAAATGAGCATAAAAGAGGGTTCTAGAAAACAAGGTCAGAGGGGAAATGCAGGAGTGGGGGCGGCGGGCAGACTGTGCACTATAAGATCATTATAAGGCTTTGACTTTTACTCTGAGTGAGAAAGGAAGCTATTGGAGAATGCTGAACTGAGAGGAATCTTGATATGACAGGTTTAACGGGCTCACTCTGGCCGCTCTGTTGAAAACATTTTGTAAGAAGGTGGGGGTGAACATGTGGAGATGAGTTTCAAGGCTAGTGCTGTAATTTGACAAGAAAGGATTCCATCTCCGTCGGGTTGGTAGTGATGAAGGTGGTGGGAAGGGAGCAGGCTCTGGGTGGAAAAGGCCATAGATAATTTCACAAAGGGCTAGAAAGAGGTGGCAGCAACATGTCTCAGTGACTTCACAGTATTTGGGAGGCATGACCATCTAGTCAACCCATGTTAGAGGTTCTTTCCAAGTGGCAATGTGCTGTGGCAAAGGAGCGGACCCATGGGACAGGTCGTTTGTCCCTTTAAGACCAACATCCCTAATTTACAAATAGTAAGAACACATTTCTGATTTGCCCAGTGGCCTCAAATGAGACTCTATACTGTCTTAAAAATGCCCTCACGTTCTGGGATCTATGATTTTGGTTAGTAACTTTAAACACGGCTGGGCACAGCGGCTCATGCCTATAATCCCAGCACTTTGGGAAGCCGAGGCGGGTGGATCGCCTAAGGTCGGGAGTTCGAGGCCAGCCTGGCCAAAACAAGGTGAAACCCAATCTTTACTAACTATACAAAAATTAGCTGAGTGTGGTGGCACATGCCTGTAATCCCAGCAGCTCAGAAGGCTGAGGTAGGAGAATCGCTCAAACCCAGGAGGTGGGGAGGTTGCAGTGAGCCGAGATCGTGCCACTGCACTCCAGTCTGGGAGACAGAATGAGACTCCATCTCAAAAATAATAATAATAATAATAATAATCTGAGATGCTGCATCAGAGGCAACACTGTTCTTTGAAAAGTAAGTGGTGTTGCACTCTGATTTCCCCTTCTCTGGACTTTCCACCGCCTACAGGACTTATGCTTGACTTGCTCCTCAGGTGGTGGTCTTGGGGTGCGGCGAGGGTGAAATCCCCATGTGTATCATGACAGAGTACAGCAGTTCACTATGGCAAGGCTCAGTCAAGCATCACAGTAGTCACAGAACCTAGTGAAAGTCCACGGATACCATTTTGACTCAGAGAGCAGGTGCATGATTAGGCAACATCCACTACCCTTGTCTATGCAGATAGCTTAAAACACTGGACTGGAGAAAACAGAAAAGGGTGGCTCACAATCTCATAATCCAGCACAATAAGGATGGTCACAGCTAAGATCTTCCAGCATGTTGGCTAATTACGTACCTGCAGGTCATGTGCTCCCAGAGAAACAGACAGGGTAAAATCAATGCTAATGTCCCCTTTCTTGGTCCCAGACTCTTACAAAACCTCTTGGTAGCTCCTGCTCTTGGTTTCTTTGAGAAGCTAATGTGTTTAACCAGCAAATCTCTCTTGGTTGTTTAACATCATTGGATACAATTTCTATTTGTAACCAAATAAACTCTGACATGTATCAATTAACATTCCATAGCAACTTGGGGAAAATGATTAAGCCATAAAATCAAAGGTACTAAATTGCATATAAATTTTAAGTGTGTCATTCTGAAAAAAGTGTGTAGATGTAAAGAGCAAATGAAAGCAAAACACAAAAATGCCTCTGGTGGAGTATTTTTTCTTTACTCTCCACAAAATTATTGCGGTATTCTTGAAATTTCTGAAATAAGCTGTTGGCCAATGAAATAAATATTTAATATTCAAACTATGAAAGCCTCCCTAAATGATTTCCAAAATAACAGACCACACAGTCAATACATAATTATGTATTTAAGGTTATCTGGAGTTGACACAAGTAGGCGTGCTCCTAAAAAGTTGAAGGAAAATGTTAACTTGAGAACTGTCAGTTTTTTTCATATTTTTGTAAAAGGAGGGAAACATACTAGATTCATATGTTTGTTAATTTCAGATGGTTTTTGCATCTGTTTTCTTTAGTCAGGACCCTCCTCAAATGTGGAAACATCACCAGGATTCCCAGAGAGCTCTAATTCTTGAGTTGTGAAACCCAGAAAAGTGTTGAATGCTGAATTCACTGTACACCTGCAAGACTTGAGACACAATTCCTGAACCTTTCCCCAGTCTGATCATCCTTCTTTTGGACAGCAGCTTTATTTTCCTGAGCTGACTTACGCAGCCTAACTTACGCTTTCAGCATAGCTCTTGCCATCAGTTCCCAGAACCAGGCCGACTCGTGGTGCTGCGTGAGCCAGTGCTGCTGGGGACGCAGGGTCAGCTCATCCAACCCATTCATTTTACAGATGAGAGTACTTTGACCCAGAGAGGAGAAAGGACTACCTCCAGATATCATACACATTTACTCAGTGCAAAAGACTTGCCTTCCGTCCAGTTAATTTGGAGATGGCTCTTTGAGATGACCAGAGTGGTGCAGGGGGTGGGAAGCTAGAAGCTCTGAGCCCACTTTTCCTCCACATTTGACAGAGGACTTGGCCATGGGCATGCAGATAACTGTTTTCTGGTTGTCTCCCTTGAGCACTGCTCAAGGAGCTTTCACATCTGGAGCTACTTCCTACTCCCTGAGATGTCATAGGCACCTGCCCAGGAAAGCCTGCAGGGGTCCTTACCTCCACAGGGTGTGCCAGCAACTCTCCTGAGGAATTTAACCCACTCCTCCATCTCTGCCTGGGAGCTGGCCATGAGGACATAGGAGTCCTGTCCCATGCGATTCTGGTCCCATGAGGCTGGAGGAAGAAGTAGCACTTGTGAAGGTCTTAGAGTGATAAGGGTATGAGAGCAAGGGGAAGGGAAGGGAACAAGACCTAAATTGATTTCTTGGTTCAGTGAATCACTACCAGCCAAACAACACAAATGTGTTGTCTAATTATCCTCAGTGGACCTGGATATCCGGGTACTCTTACTGTTTTTGCTGAAGCTCTAACTCTACAGACAAATCATTGAACACAATGGTTTGCAATTGGCGTAGCTGGGGCTGAGGGCTGCTTTCATTAAGAGGACAGAAGTCATTTCCTGCCAAAAGGAAAAGGAAGTTCGTGGTGCAGTTTCAGCATGGAGGAGACAATTCAGCCCATAAAAGTTAGAAGACCTTAGATCATCACGCCAGTCACGGATACTTTCCTAAGCTAGCCTTGAGCTCAGTTGCGGGGGTAGGGTAGGAGATGACAACCTCAGGTGGGAGTGACAGTGAGTACATGTGTGCTTTTTTCACAAAATCCGTGCTTGGTGTTCATATTTCTGCTCTCCTGACCACACAAGACCTTGCAAATGTAGGTTCTCAATACTCAGTTAATGGATACATGAAACTTGTTAGAACCTTCTTTACCATTTTCACTTCAAACCTAAGATTATAGATAGGTGCAGTGTTTCCTCGGTTGATGTTCTCAAATGGACAAAAAAGGTGGGAGAAATTGAAGGCAACAGAGAGCAGGGAGAAGGAGATGAAGGGAAAGAATGTGGGAAAGTGAAAACTAGGGAGAAAGAAGCAAGAGAGGGAAAAGAAGAGTATCAAATACAGGTCTTAGACCATGAAGTTAGTTAGTCAGATCTGAGACTTGAACTCTAACTTCATCCATGGACCTGCTTGCAAATGGAAATCCTCAAAGTTGGGATTTTCTTTAGTTGGTTAAAATAAAAAGGTCTTAGCGGGGACAAGAAAATAATAGTGATCCCTTTCAATTATGGGATACTATTAAATTTCAAAGTGCCTTTGTAAGCATCAACCCATTCTTCTCACAATGGCAGGCCATCTCCCTCAGAGAGCTTGTTCTAGCTGAGTAGTTGTGCCTAAACCTGTATTTCCCTGCAGGGCAGGAAAAGACTTTCAAATCCCCTTTGGTTCTGGTCTCTTGGACCTATCTTAACATCACTGAGCCTCACCTTCCTTCACCCTTTGGGATAACCTGATTCTGAATCCATCTTGTCATTGGGTCATCAGCTTTTCTGACTGGAAGGCTCAGTCCATTAAAACCCTAGGCATTGAGAGTATCCTGAGAACTGGGTGTTTTCAGAAGTAAAATGGTAAGTTAAAAATACTCAGGGAAGAATGAAAAGACCCTCTAGGAATTGCAATATCCCTTTGAAATAGAATAAGGAGTTAGTATTATTTCCATTTTATAGATAATAGAACTGAATCCCAGGGTTGCAAAAGCACCAGTCCATCAGTATCCAGTGAGTTGCTGCCAAATGCAGGGCAAGTCCGTCGGTCTCCTTACTCCCATGAAAGATTCCACTGGCCCATATTGCTTCTAAGTTTGACCTTGGACAAAATTTATCTGGTGTCTTTTCCCCCTCTCTCTCCACCATGCCTCAACTCCAGTCAATATGTTGTTAAAACATGCCTTCTCAGTTTACCCTGAGTCCTGGGAGGTCCTTGTGTTCTGTCATGAGCAACCCCACTGGGAAACACCCAGGTCTCAAGATGTTCCTGAATGAAGAGGACTTCCATGGACTAATTCTTCTGGTTAGGAGAGCTGATGACCTGATGACAGGATGATTGAGAATCAGGTTGTACCAAAGGGTGAAATAATGTGAAGCTTGATGATATTAAGATAGGTCCAAGAGACAAGAACCAAAGGGGGTTGGAAAGGTTTCTGTTGTATTTGGGCATAATTGGGGTGCTAGGACAGACTTTCATTAAGAGGAATTGACTGACATTAATACAAAGCTCATGAACAGCAACTCTGACCTCAGGCACAATTTATCTGACTTAAACACAGCTTGTTCGACATGTGTTACCCATTGGGCTGTTTCTCTTGTTGGAAATGGACATCTCTTCTTTTCTTAATCTGCCTGAGGAACTCCTGTCCATTCTTTAAAACCCAACTCAAATGTTACCTTTTTTAGGGACCTTTCTTCCCCCTACTCCAAGTTGAGTGGGGAGTCCTTATTCTATTATCCCTTAATATCTTGTTCTTACCTCCATCACTGCAGTAGCTAAATTGTCTTGAGCAATAGTTTCCTTATAGGTGCAATGGAGATATTATTTAATATGTCCAAAACTGATGCCCTTACCCCCCATACCCTGAAAAAACTTGCTACGTGCACAAATCTCAGCAAATCCATATTTTCCACTGTTTAGGCCAAAACTTTGGAGTCAATGTTGATTTCTTTTTCCCACATCCAATTAATTAGCAAATGAAGCCCTCCCTACCTTCAAAATGTGATCAGAAATTGCCTACTTCACAGCCCTTCATCATTGCTATCTCTGACTTGGATTCTTGCAAAAGCCTCCTCACTGACCTCCTTGCTCTGCCCTTGCCCCCACTACTTACTTTTATTTTCAATTCAAAAGAATTTTAAAACATGAGTTATGTCATGTCACACCTCTGCTCAAAACGTTCCAGTGGCTTCCCATCCTTCTAGCAGAAAAGCTAAAGTTCTCACATTGCCTACAACTGTCTATGAAATCTGTGCCCACCCCTGAGCAAATGTCCTATTTTTGTCTCCTGCCATCACTTCACTCTAACCACACTGGCCTCCTTGACCTTCCTTGAACATATGAAATAGACTCAGAGACTTTGCACTGGCAATTTCCACTTCCTGGAATGCTCTTCCTCCAGCTGTGCTCTTAGCTGACTCCCTCATTTCCTTCAGATCTGTGCCCAAAGGTAACCTTCTTAATGACACAAACTCTGCCGGCTCTGTTCACAATAACCAGTCAACCGTCTCAGCCAGCACCTTCTCTCTCTTTGGTTTAATTTTCCCCATAATTGTTATCCTATCAGAAAAACTACATAATTTGCCCATATATTTGGTTTGCTGCTAGTCTCTTCCCACATAAGGTGCATGCACGCTGCTTAGTTCTTTGCCACATTCCCAGTCCTGCAATAGTACTTGGCTCATAGGAGATGCTCAATGAAGTTGTTGTATAAATGAGTGACAACAGATCATAAAGTGGTATGAGAACTAAATGAGATAGCATATGCAACAGAAGGAACAACCTCTTATCCCTAGTGATTCCCTGGGGTGGGAGGAGAATAGATAGTTATTCTATGAAAGGTCAGTAGCGAGAGGGAAGCCTACCCTAAATTGTTGCCTGCCCTCAATTTAAAAAAAAAAAAAACTAGCATGACTACAATTAAAAGTTTCTGTGTGGTGTTTGTGCAGATAAAACTGGTGATCACAGAGAGAGGAGGAAGCCCATTTCTTATACCAGCCCATTTCTTATACCAGCATTAGCTGCGGAGAATCATCTTGCAAAAGAGGATGATAAAAAGAGGAACACAAAATTCTCTGTTATAACATGAAGGATGTCTCACTTTAGGGTTGGGTGGAACCTTGGAAGATGATGGTATCTTTATGAAAATGGTTTCCTATCTTATTATTACTTTAGAATTATTTGTCCTTATGAGATGTGTGTGAGGTGTGTGTGTGTGTGTAAGAGAGAGAGAGAGGCCGGGTGCGGTGGCTCACGCTTGTAATCCCAACACTCTGGGAGGCTGAGGCAGGTGGATCACAAGGTCAGGAGATGGAGACCATCCTGGCTAACACGGCGAAACCCCGTATCTACTAAAAATACAAAAATTTATCCGGGCGTGGCAGTGTGCGCCTGTAGTCCCAGCTGCTGGGGAGGCTGAGGCAGGAGCATGGCATGAACCCGGGAGGCGGAGCTTGCAGTGAGCCAAGATTGCACCACTGCACTCCGGCCTGGGCGACAGAGCAATACTCTGTTTAAAAAAAAAAAAAAGAGAGAGAGAGAGAGAGAGAAAAAGAATCTGAGAATTCCTCTAGCAGGCCAGGAGACTGTTGCAAACATGAATGATAATGAGAGAACAAATCTTCCTCCTGCACTGGTATAGCAATTTGAAGAGTAGGTATTTTTGGTGCAAAGCCCACAGTGAATCTTCAGCTGGATCTCTCAGTAGGGTTACTCTAGATTGAAAACCCAGGCTTTAGGACACACATGGTACCATGGATGGTTGTGTCCCATGAATTGCACTGGGAGAGGCATCCTAAGAACAGAATAACCTTTGTGGAAAGGGAGAGAGATATTCCTAGTGAGGAGAGACTGAAAAAGCAGGCTTTCCTGCTTTTCCTCTGAAGAGAAAGAGAGGAAGATAGACCTTCAGATTAAAAAGCAAGGGAGGATGGGAACAGTGTCTCACATCTGTAATCCCAGCACTTCAGGAGGCTGAAGCAGGTGGATTGCCTGAGGTCAGGAGTTTGAGAGCAGCCTGGCCAACACGTGAAACCCCGTCTCTACTAGAAATACAAAAATTAACTGGGCATAATGGCATGCACCTCTAGTTCCAGCTACTCGGGAGGCTGAGGCAGGAGAATTGCTTGAACTGGGGAGGCAGAGGCTGCAGTGAGCCCAGATCGCACCACTGCCCTCCAGCCAGGGCAACAGAGCAAGACTCTGTCCCCACTTCAAAAAAACAAAAACAAAAACAAAACAAAACAAAAAAAACAAGCAAGACAGTGCCCATAAGGGGACCATCTAGGAACTTAAAAATTTTTTTATTTGTATTCTATAAATGGTCATAGCCAAGTTTAGGATTTTTTTTCTGCATTATAATTATCTCTAGATTATTCCCAAATATCAAACACTGATATGACATGCACTGTATCAAATGCTTCACATTGATTTCCTTATTTAATCCTCACTATCATCATTATTATCCCCATTTTATAGACAAAAAATCAGAGGCAAGGAGAAATTAAGTAACCTCTTACACAAATAGTAAGTGCCAGGCTCAGGGCAGGCTGGCTCCAGACTGGACACTTCTAACCTCTATGCTATGCTGCCTTCTCCATCAACTTTCTTAAGCACACAGTCACCCTGTGTGAGTGGGAAAGAGAGGGGGAAGAAAAGAGGCACTCAGGGGCCACGTGGCCTCCCCTGCTGTGGTCAGTACAACAGTAGCAGCAAGGCTACACAGTCAGATTAACCTCTAGTCCCAGAGCCCCTGGCAGGGCTAGGGCTAGCATAGGAGCAAGAGACAGGGAGAAGGGTGGAAGCATCTCAGCATGGCAGATTCAGGAGCATGACCCAAACTCCCCTTGTTCCAAATGCATTCGAGGAAGGAAACTCTTGATTTGAAAGAGGCACCCTCCAATGTGCCAATCATGTGTGCAATGGTGAGATGCAATGGGTGGAACCATCTGAGGCTGTTGACTTTTTATGATTTTTGACCCTTCGAAATGGCAATTTCACATGGTTCCATTTACATTTTAACTGTTAAATTTAATGACCTACTCACCTTCTGGACTGAGTTCATTTTAGTGAGTAGAGAAGGTGCACTTTTCATGTGCGCTCAGTGCCTTGTACAGTACCTGGCTCCTAGCACACACTCATGAAATGCTTACAGAGTTGAACAAAATGCTCACCTACTTATTTCATGGGCATTATTCAAGCACTTGATACTAGTTAATAAACTGCAATAGCTTCATTAACTGTATACAGAACCACTGTGGGTTCTCAATAGGCTGGTTGGTTAGTTAGTTGAATGAGTCTCCAAATATAGCTTTGACTTCTAGAATCCAGAAGTAAAATGGGAATTTTACTTCTGCATTGCACCTCTGTCCTACCTGTTGTGGCCTACCTGGAATGATTTCAAAGACAAACTTCCCAGCTTCTTCTGGGTTTGTGGCGATCTCCTTGATTGTACTTCCTGGTAGATGCATGCAGCCCTGAAAGATGAAAAGTCAGGCCTTAAGGATAAGCAGCAATTTAACGCCTATAAACTAAAATTGAGTTGGAGAACAGATAGGATAATGATGGGATGGGGTGGAGAGTAGGAGGGTAGGGACACGGGAAGCTAGCCTCCCAGTTTTAATGGGGCCCCTTCTGCTGCTCAGGCCTCGGGCAAATTAAAGGGCAGCTATTCCAGAGCAAACTAGATGCCCAGAGAAAGACAAGGTTCTGATATAAGAATAAGCTAAGAGAGTTCCATCACCAGTACTTGCCTCTTCCCACTTTTCCAAGGACCCAACTGCATGGTCAAACGAGACACTTGGTCTTTGTGAAGGCAACGCTGAGGCTGGGGAGACCATACTGCCTGCCAGGCTGCCAGAGGGGTTCAGGGAGGACTGAAACACTCAGGTCACCATTTGAGGGGATGGGGTATTGAGTAGCAGGTGCCTGCATCTTCACTAACCACCTCGAATGTATTATTCATTTAGTTCTTCCAGCAGGCCTCCAAGCAAAGTATCATTATGCACATTTTATAGGTGAGGAAAAGAGATCAGAAAGCTTCTGTAATCTACCCAAAGTTATAGAGCTAGTAAGTGCCAGAATAGTAGTTGATCTCAGAAGTCAGTCCAAAGCCAGCGCTCTTCACCATCAAAGCTGAGGTGGTGGGAAATGGTCCAACCACCAAGCCCAGATCTATGAAGGGTGACTGAGGGTTTAATAGGATTTGTGACCTCTTATACACGGATATATTATCAGAAAAACAAGCCACTTCCACTATGTGTGTGCATGGTGCTTTATCACTTACAGTGCATTTCACTTGGGATAATTTTTTTTTTTTTTTTGAGATGGAGTCTTGCTCTGTTGCCCAGGCTGGAGTGCAGTGGCATGATCTCAGCTCACTGCAACCTCTGCCTCCTGGTTCAAGTGATTCTCCTGTCTCAGTCTCTCGAGTATCTGGCACTACAGGCGCCTGCCACCATGTCTGGCTAATTTTTTGTATTTTTTTTAGTGGAGACGGGGTTTCACAGTGTTAGCCAGGATGGTGTCGATCTCCTGACCTCGTGATCCGCCCACCTCAGCCTCCCAAAGTTCTGGGATTACAGGCATGAGCCACCTCGCCTGGCCCACTTGAGATAATTCATTAGACCCCCACAACAGCTCCATATCCAGAGCACAGCAAGATTTATCACTGAAACTTTGCAGATGAGGAAATTGACACTTTGAACGTCTAAATGACTGCACAAAGTGAGATAGTTAATGTGCACTGGATCTAGTTATTCAAAATTTATACCACACTGGCTGTTGAAGGTAGCAGGCCTGGTTCTGAGTTGAGTAAACACACATGTCTTTATTTCAAAACAAAGTACGGATGGAGACGATTGGTGGCAGAGAACACTATAAAGGCAAAAGAGTCTTAAGGATATCTCAGAAGTAAGATCCACTCAGGAGCCTAAGAGAATAAATGTTTCTTGAGGATCTAGAAATAAAAATGCCTAAGACTGAGAAAGAACAAGACAAAAAGGAAGAGGAGGAGGAGGGGAAGGAACAGAAAGGGCAGGAGAAGGAAGAAGAGAAAGAACAAATGGGAGGAGAATGAGGATGAAAGACAAGGAAAGGCAGAAGGGGGAAGGGGAAGGAGGAGAAGAAAAAGCAAATCGGTCTAGAAAATAGAATTCTGCAATTCCTCTACATTCCTCTAATTTTATTATTTAAAAATAACCTCCACCTACATGGTCCTCACCATCTTTAATAAATCACATCAATGCCTTCAGAAAAAACGACCCTGAGGTTGTGCTGCTGAGCTACTTTGGATGAGTTATGGTGCCAGAATAAAAGGCCTTGTTGCTTTAAGACAGGACAGAGCACTGTCTGGTAAGGAGAGAAGGAAAGGGCAATCGCAGAGGTGTCTGCCTCCCCTAAGTACCCCTCTAAACTGTCATTTGGTACCCAAAATCATTTCATCAGAAATCGTAACAATAAAATACTAAAAATATACATGCCATGTATTGAGCAGTCCTAAAGTGTCTAACTCTATGCTAATTGCCCTGAATATATCAGCACATCTAATCTTCATAAGAAGTCTAGGAGGGAAGGACTCTTATTCTCCCCCATTGGAGAAAGGAAGAAGCAAAGCTCAAAGAAGTTAATTAGCTGACCCAGGATCACAAAAGCTAGATAATACAAAATCTGTGATTCCAGCCTCAGTCAGTGTGATTCCAGAATTACAAATAAGGCTTCACTTACAAGTCCCACTTGCTGAGAGAAGTAACAATCAGAGTTATACATGTTCACACCAAGGTGTAAATGACTAATTCCTCGCACTCAGCATGAGAGCCTTGAACTTCATAAATGGCAAGAGGAAGGCAAGTAAGAGGAAGAGACACCAGTAGGGGTGAAGATGGGGACACTAATGGGGAAGGAAGAATTGTTCGAGGAAGGGAAGGGCCCAAGTTGCCCAGAGCCACTTTCATGTACTTAGCAAGTTGACTGGGGTGAACTCTGTATAAAGATGGAAGGACGGAAACGTTTATGCAGGAGGCCACAAGTCCTTCAGCAGTAAAGCAATGTCTGAGACAGCTATGGCAGTGAGGTGCCAGAATATCTAGAATTCTCTAGCTATAACTTTTAAATCTATTATAAATTCAGGTAGAACTACATTTTAGCCCAACTCCTTGTTAAAGCATTTTTCAAAATGTTTATATTGGCTCATGAGAACTTAACTGTTACATTTTAAGCCACTTAAATACAGCTATTACTAAAATTTAAATTCTATAAGCTTACAATGAAATATTTTCTACTAAAAAGGTGAAGATACTTAAATTTTACAACTTTCTGATTCTTTACTATATTTTGCTATCATTTCTGCCATTGTGGTGACTTCCATCTATTCTATCTATGTAGTGGAAATCCTATACAATGTGGTTCTATAGTATGTCTCTTCTCAACTCTGAGTTCAGTGATCTCACGTTGGTAGCTTGCATCAGTCATGATGGGAGCATCTGCTGCACAGAAATTACCAAATGTTGCACTTCAATCAACTCTCCCATCAGAGGGCCCATTGTTAACTATTTACCGGCACGCCGCTGATAGACAACCACTTGTGGCGATGCCTCAGAAAACAGACAGATGAGACAATGGGACCACGGGTCTACCCTACTACTAGGATTGTCTGAGACCATCATTGTAACAGAAACTTGAGGGCAATAAGCTGAGATTCTGTTCGAAACAATTTCCCTGACAAAGAACTTTCTAGAATGGTTTATATAAAGCTAGTTGATGGACTTACACAGCCTTATACTGTTAAAACCGGACAGGATCTTTCTGAGAACTCAAAGAAAAAATGCACAGACTGCCTTCTATAGGGCCACAGGATTCCCCAAAAGCACATACAGGAAAGTCTATCATACACAGTTCCATAATTTATTTACATTCTCCTTTGTCAGACGCTAGGTCCAATGTTTCTCATTATAAATAGCATTTAATATTCTTATTATTTCTTTTGGAACTTCATAGACCCAGAATCACTGTGTCTAAGGGTATGACAATATTTTGTGTTTAGTAAATCTGGCCAAATGACTTTCTAGAAAGGTTGTACCAACCGACCCACACATCACCAGTGTAAGTGGGGGCCCTTACGCCTGATGCTTCCAAGATTCTTGTGATGTTTCTGTTTTTTGGTATCTTGGGGGATAGGATGTTTGTGTGCATTCTTTTTAAATTTACAACTATTACACTTAAATTATAAAAATATTTTTAAAGAAACATTAAAAATTGTATGTGTAACCCCAGTATTCAGAGATAACCACCGTTAATACTTCTGTGTATGTCTTTCTAGACCTTTTTCTATAAATACAGATTCATGATATTTTTTCCAAGAATGGGATTAGTATACACATCACCTTCTGTTGTAAAGTGCTTTTCGAAGACAATATTATGGACATCTTTCTATATCAAAAAGTATTAATTAGGAGCATCAACGTCTGAATTGTATTTTATTGTATAGACATGTAAATGTAGCCTAATATAAGTTAGCCCCTACCACTGGGCATTGCTGTCATATCACTAATATAAACAATGCTGTGAGGAATCTACTTAATTATTGCTTGTGATAATAGTATAGACATCAGCCCAAATTCCTAACAGTGGAAAATTAATTAAATAAATTATAGAGCATTCATATAATAGATTGTTTTGATATAACTAAGAATTATATTATAGAGTCATATTTAGTGTTGGGGCCAATATTCATGAAGTATTTTTAATTTTTTCATTAAATAATATTTATTATACTAATTTTGCATTTACAATAGATGAGTTCCTAAATACATACATATAGGGAAGGTTGAAAGTAGAGGGGATGTAGGTGGCTATTTCTTACTGATGGGATTGTGAATAACTTTTAAAGCTTTTGTAATCAAACTATACATATCAATATGCAGTAAACTACACTATTCTTTCTAAGAAATTATTATTTTATTCCTAAAGGTTTTATTTTTCTATTTTTCATATCTGAAATGAGTGTTGGATTTTATCAACGCATTTTTCAGCCATCTATTGAAGGGTTGTGTGGTTTTGCTTACTTGACTTATTGATCTGATGTATTACATCAATAGATCTCCTCAAAATAAATTATCCTTGTCATCCTAGAAGTGTTACCTAATTATCTCAGGCTAATTTAGTCCTGAGAAGGCTTTGGGTTTCTTCCTCCCAGAAGTAAAGAGGAGAAGCAAGAACCTTCAGATATTTATTTTACCCTTTGACATGAGTTTATGTTTTTACAAAACAGTTTTTTACACCTGCTTTATATCATTTGATCCTGTGACAAACGCAGGCCAGGTAGTATTGTCTGATTTTATAAAAGAATAAAGAGGGGTTCAGAAAAATTAAATAATTACAGGGCCAAACAGTGGTGGAGCCAGGAAAAGAACACGTCCTTTGATATAAAGTGCGTCTCACCCTCTACACTTCATGGAAACACACTCAGCTGCCCCTTTCACTGATGTGGGGTGGCCACACCTTACTGCCGTCTCCCTTACACTCTGCAGATAGGAAGGCTTCCTCCATCGTCTTAAGACATCAACTGCCATCTTAGCCTGGAATTGCTTGGCTTTAATAAGGTCTGGGGTGTTTATAAAGAGAAGGAAGGCTGGTTACCATGGACAGAACACTAGGCAAGAGCCCAGTCTGTGGTGGGATCCCTGTGATCCTCCTCTGGCCTCTGCAGTGACAGACACTCAGAATTCAGAGGCCTTAAGTGGAGGAACTGGTTAACCGAGTCCTGCTGATGTGTAATGGATTCTCAAGCCTGCCCTTAAAGAAAACTGTCCTCTTCCAAAATGACCTTTTCACTTTGGTCCCATCCACCCCCAATATCTACACACTTCTTGTCCTCACCTTTCTCGGGATTTTGTTCTGACTCCAGAAGGTTCTAGAGTCAGTCTTCCCGAATAAGCTCCTTCTGGCCAAGCCCATACTTCCATCTCCACAGACATGAGTTCTAGGTGGGTGACCAGCTGTGCTGGATGTCCTGAGACATCCAGTTTGCACCTGGGATCCTGGGGTAATTGTTCAGAGCATCCTCTTTTATTCTCGCACACCACAATGGCCAGAAAAGCAATGAGGTTGGCCGAAGAGACCTAGGCTCAAGATTTAGGATTAAAGCCCATTCTCACAGCCTTATCCACTGCATCAGGAAATCCTGTTTGCTCTACTTTCAAAGTATATCCAGAAGCTGACCATTTTCCTCCAGCCCACAACTCCCACTGAGCCCCTAAACATCATAACCCCATACCTAGATTACTTGAGTCTTCCCCCTGCTCTATTTTTGAGCACAGTAGCTAGAGCTGTCTTTTTACAACTTAAACCAAAAACTGTCACTCTCTGCTCAGAGCCCTGCAATGCCTCCCTGTGGTCCTCAGTGTGAATGCTCAGGTCCTTGCAGTGGCTTGCAGTGCCCCAGCAGTCTGTGCCCCTGACCCCTGACTGCCCTCTCGCTTCTCAGACCTCATCCCCTCTGATTCCTACCTGCTAGTTCTGCTCCTACCACAGTGCCCTCCTTGCAATTCCCCATCCAGGCCAGACATGCTCCCTTTGGGGCCTTGGCACCAGCTGCTCTCTCTCTGCCTGGAACACTCTTTCCCCCAGAGATGTACCCAGCTTATTCCCTCTCCTCTGTAGTTTTGATCCCAGTGTCACCTGCTTCATGAGGTCATTTGACCATCCTTTTAAAAATTACATCTTCCCTTAACTATTGACACCTGCTAGCTCATCCTATTTTTTCCTCACAGAACTAATCTTTTTCCTAACAAATTACATACTTTTCTTATTTGTTATGCTTATGTGTCTTTTCCTCCATATTCTAAGTTGTGTGTGGTAGAGATTTTTATCTGTTTTGCTCATAGTTTATTTCAAATACTTAGAACAGTGTCTGGCATATAACAAATGCTCAGTAAATACTTAGTGAACAAACAAATCAATGAGACCCACAATCGGTTTTCCTGAACCCAAATCCACTTTCTCTGAACCCTTGACTGAGTGTCACCACCATCACCGCCCTGTTGCCGGTCTTGACTTAGAGCCACGTGTAGGAAACTCCACAATGCCCATCCTGGGACTTCCTAGAGGACCACTCTGTCATCTTTGCAACTCAGTTTATGTATCTAGAAAATGGTATAAAGGAAAAAGCAATTTCCTTTCCAATGGGTGTGTCTGGTCCTATTAAGAAGGCCCCTGTGAGTTTAAATGCAATCCCAGCGGACTCCAGACCCGCCTCCTCCGTGCCTTATGAACGGGACAAACAGCCTGGCTGGTACCTGGGGCTTCGTGTCCTCTTCATCCTTGTAGTAGTAGAGCTGCTGTGCCCTCAGCACAAAGTACCTCTGCTGCCAGTTCTTCACGATGGACCTCTGCTTCTTCAGCCAGCCCATCTTGATGGGCCTCTCCAGCGGGTTGGGGGTGGACGATGGATGGAAGGCCGCCATCTGCTCGCCAGTCATCACACTCCTTGACCGAGCTATAGAGAGGAACAGACAGGGCGACTGACTGAGGGACATGGGGCAGTGAGCAAAGAGTGGGCAGAGAGGAGGGAGGAACCCCAGAGGGGCCGAGAAGTGAGGGAGGCACGACAGCCAGGTCCAGTTCAGGGGTCCGGATCTGAGCCAGAGAAAGTCCCCCCTGAGCCAGAGAAGCAGCCGAGGGGCCAGCTCCCGGTCAGGGCCGGGCCAAGAACAAAACCCAGGCGGCGGCCAGTGGCCTGGTACACAGGCAGTCCGGCACCGCGGCGGGCCCCGTCATTCTGCAAAGCGAAAGGTTGGCTGGAGCCTTCTGAAGAGGAAGTGGCCACAGCATCTGACAAAAGGTGCTTCCTTTTTCCTGCGTGGGAGTCAGTATCTGACAAGAGAGAGGAGAAAATAATGCCTCACTCTGAAGGCTCGGGGTGAGTCCCACGCAGCTGCAGAGGCCGCCGGAAGCTGCCCGGGCACTCTTCCACAGCGGCCGGCTAGAGGAGGGGCCACACGCCACAAGCTGTGCTAGCTCCGACCTCGCTGTCTAATGCAGGCCTCCTCCAGCGGACCCCACTCAAACCCCAGCCCCGGCCACAGGGCCAGCCTTCAGGGAGTTGGCACCTTCTGAATTCTCCTGCCCAGTGCCATTCTGTCTCCTGTCCACGGAGAGTATCCCAGCCCTTTATGCTGTACAAGCAGCTCGCTGCTGCTGCCTTCCCATTACCTTTACAGTTAGGTTGTCACTGCCGATAGAACTCAGAAGCAGGATTTGAAGCCAGAGCCCCTTGAACCTACTGCATGGTATAATTGGCTTTTATTTTCACACAGGAAGTCTGCCTGTCATTTGATTAAGTGCAGCCTGTACCTCCACATCTTGTCTCCATGGTAACTCCCATCCAGGGCCACTCTCTCCTTTCCTTCCCTACCCAGCGCTCCATCGATCATCCTGGTCCCCATTCAACACTTCCTTCTGAGCCCCACCTTCCTTCTTTCCCAGCCAGTTCAAGGATGCCCTTGTCTCCTTGGACTGTGCTGCCCTCCACACTTGCTAATACCCAGTGTCTGCACCCCTCTACTTCTGCCAAGTGTTGCTGGAGGAAGGCCTCATCTTCCAACCCCCTTTTTCAGGTTTTGTCCGTCCCTGGACCACTCACGACACAGCTAAACTAAGCCATCAACTCTACTCTCACCCGATTTCATTTCACCTGATTGGAGACTAGTTCTACCTTTCCTGACTTTTTGACAGTGGATAAATTATGCTTCTCTGAGCCTCGGCTTCCTCACTTGCTAAATTAGGGTAATAATACTTCCTAGTGTATGGAATTGTTGTAGAGATTAAACAAACATATGCAAACCACTTAGCACAGTCCCTGGTCAAAGGTAAGTATATGCTACTCTTACTATTTTTATCAACAGATGACTTTACTTCCTACTAAAAGGATGGGAGTCATCACTGAGAGCTTCTTCAACTTCCCTCTTCACTTGAAAATGTCATTCCATCATCAAGCTTCCTCTCTTTCTTCTTTCCTATCTTTAATGCATTAAATTGCCAACACCTCCTCATTGATTTTGAAAAATATATTCAGCAGGTACATATGCTGGTTTGTTACATGAGTCCATTGCATAATGGTGGGGATTGGGTTTCTAGTGTACCCATCACCCAAATATTGAACATTGTAACCAACAGGTAATTTTTCAGTCCTTACCTCCCTCCTGCCTTCCCCACTTTTGGAGTCCTCAGTGCCTATTATTCCCATCTTTATATCCGTGTATACCTATTGTTTAGCTCCCACTTATAAATAAGAACATGGGATATTTGATTTTCTGTTTCTGAGTTAGTTAGGATAAATAGCCTCCAGCTCCATCCATGTTGCTGCAAAGGACGGAATTTCATTCTTTCTGATTCCATTATTTCTATCTCTCTCTACGCCTGTGATTCTCAGTCTTTATAGTTATGGCATACTTTCAAACACCAGAGTTTTATATGGTATTACAGAGTCTTTCCGTAGCTATCTCCAATTGTGTCTAGAGTTATCACCCTATTTCCACATTTCGCCCTTCTGTCCAATATTGCCGTCTGAAGAGGACTCCACTGTAACTGGGCTCCCTTGACCCTCACAAGGGGTCTGAGTTCCCGTAATATACCCTTATACCTGTTTCCATCTGGCAGTCACTTCTTACCTCCCACCAGCGACCTGGTGAGGTCATACTAGGTTGTATCCCAGGTTGCAAGACGTATTTGATTCAGCATCCCATTGGACAGACATCGTCATAAGAGTGCTTATACTCAGATGTAGAAAAGGTAATTTGATATTTTGATGACAATTTGGTAGCTTGCTTACAAAGGATTTGCTTTATATCAGGGTGTCTTAGCAGCCCAGTTAAGAACTTTATCTGAGATCTTGCTCCTCAGTTACTTGCTATCTTCAAGGCCTTCAATCCGTAATTAAAGAGCAGCCACTGTGGGCTGATCACTTGCCCTGAGGCTGTGGAAATGATCCCAAGGGAACTACAGAAAGATTTTGGCAGAATTCAATGTGGAGGAGGAAATTTGATGGACTGTATACAGCTCTGTATCTCTGTAAGTCAGAGACTGTACCTTGCAAGGACTCTTATCTGTCCTAGAAAGAGGGCAGACAGTAGGCAAAAATGAAAAAGGTAGTTTACACGCAAAACTTTTGGAGAAAATCAAAGAGTGATTTATTTCAGCAGATGCAGAGGCATTCTCCCCCACCTCAATAACCTCAGTGAAGTCCATCCCAGTGTGGCTTTTGTGATCATCCAACTGAAGCAACATCAGATATGAGAGGGAGGACCCCCCTCTAGCAGTGGCATATGAGGAACCTTTACTTGGCTTCTGGGGTGATGCTATCAAATGGAGCCAACTCAGTAGTGGGGGAAAACAGGGAGGTGCCACATGGTGGCTAGAAGGACTCAGGCCCCTTGGGCCACCCCCAGAGGCCCACAGACATCGTTAGGACCACAGTGGGGGTTAGGTGAAACTGAAAGTCTCCAACAGCATTGAAGAAGTGGGAGGGGGTTAGGAGAAGAAAAAAAGATACTACAGATTGGAGAGAATTCACTCAGCATAGAAGACATTAGTTGCTGGTATTTTGTTCATAGTTTTGTGAAATGTTTCATGCTTTGTTGTGGCAAAAACAGCTATAACAAAAACAAACAAACAAAAAACCCTCCTAGGAGCACGTGTGCATTGCAAGAATGACCTGGCAAAGGCAGGAATAAGTGCGAGGATCTTATGTTCCCAGACCTGGCCAAGAAAACCTTTGATGCCCTTGTGGCAGAAGGCAACCACCTTGTCTGCCTGCCTCTGATCAAGGCTCTGCCTGGTCATGTTTTATATCCATAAATGATACCACTCAATCTACATCCAACCAGTGTTTCTTCAGTGCCTGTTAACATCCCACCATACTTGATATAACTATGGGCAATGGGCCACCTGTTACAAGTTAGAGAGTGGGGATAGCTCAGTACAAACTTTCACACTGCTGGAATTAGGCCCAAACCCTGGGGGTAGGGAGAGAGTTGGGGTCTCAGATGAGCTAGGGATTAAGCAAGGGCACTTTCCATCCCATGTGCAGAGCCATCTCCCTCCTTAGCCCACAGTGTTGCTCACCAGCCAGGCCTAGCATGACATGATTAAAATAGCTGAGAAGAAAGTCTGGGGGCCTTGAGTTTGTCTTGGTTTTGATTAACTTTTCTTGTTAGGTTCTTTGAACAGTCTCTCTTCTCTGTGGGTGTGACTCGTTCCGGATAAAGTAAACAAAGAGATCTGTTACTATTAATGGAGCTGTTTCTCATAATGAAAATAATAACCATGATAAGCTTCACTTGTGAGCCAGTCATTGTACCCCGAGTCCACGTTCCCAGCCCTTCAGGAAGGAGGCCTGAACGAGGCTCAGGGTTGGAGAGGGGGCTGCAGGCAGACCAGGGCGGCAGGGGGGAAGGTGGGAAGGCAGTTGCTCAGTGTTTACTGAACACCCCGGGGCGAGTGAGAAATGAGGACCTCAATGAGGTTAGAAACCTCACCTTACTCTAGTAGAGAGAGGATGAGAAAGCCCCTAGCACTGCACTGTCTAGTATAGTAGCCACTAATCATGAGTGGCTGTGTACATTTAAATGAATTAAATAGGTTACATTAAGTTAAAATTGACTTTCTCTGTCATACTAACCATGTTTTAAGTACTTGGTAAGCCTGTGTGTTTTTTGGCTACAGTACTGGACACACAGATAGAGAATATTTCCATTATTACAGACAGTTCTGCCGGTCAGCACTTGCCAGAACCTGAGTGCTATCATTACAAAGCGTGGGGTGGAAATGGGCCATAAAGGTGAGGCAGCATTTTATCAAATAGAGAAATCAAGCTGGAAGGCCCAGAGAAGAAGATGCTTTAGGTGACAGAGTGAGGCATTCAACCTTGATTAGAGAGGTGGTAAGGAGCTATTTCATATTCCTGAGCAAGGGATGCCCATGATAAAATACAGTTGTATGACTGGACTGTTCGTGTTGAATTTTAGTCTGCAGGTGAGAGACAGTACTGGAAAGGAAAGAAGAGAAATAGAAGAAGTGCCACCTGCCTAGGGATGTCGTTTCTGCAGTAGAAGTTAGCTGCTTTTTGCCCCAAGATGGGGCAAGGGAAAATTAAAGAAGGAAGTATGAACAGAGAAGTCAGCTGAGAAACGTTATCACTTCCTTTCTTCATCTTCTGCCACTGAACCCTCAAAATAATCTGCTCTCAATTCTGACTCAGTCTAGATTCTACTTTGGATGGCTGTAAATGTGTGGGCGAGGTGTGAATAGTTCTTTCAGAGCTGGGGAAACAATTTCAGATATTTTCTCAGTATGTTGATATGAGCCGTGCATTAGTTTGGGAACCATGTTTAAATAGATTTGAAAAGGGAGTAGAATTTGCATGGCTTCCCCCAGCCCTCTCTTCTGAGCTGTAGACCCATCCATCCAGCTTCCTAACCCACCTCCGTGAGAATGTCA